AATTTTTATTTATTTGTTTTTCCCCTAAAGCCCCAGGCGATAGTTGTATGTCATAGCTGCACATTCTTCTAGCTGCTGCATGTGGGACGCGGCCCCAGCATGGCCGGAGAAGCAGTGCGTCTGTGCACGCCTGGGATCCGAACCCGGGCAGCCTGCATCGGAGCGCACGCACTTAACTGCTAAGCCACGGGGCCGGCCCTAGATTCTTATATTTTAAAAAGTAAAGGAGGTTTTCTTCCTTCCAGGTTTTATGTAGCAGTTTATAATCTAATACTGGTAGCACCAGTTTAATATGAAATGATTATTTTTAAGACTGGGTATTGAGTTCATATGATAAGTTACGTGTATATATTTAGACCTTAGCATTTAAGGTAAAAAGAAGTGAGAGGGGAGAACAGGGCCTGGAGGAGCTCACAGGCCGCTGAAATACAGGATCTTTGGGAGATTCCAAGGTGTAGGACAGAGGTGTACCTAAACTTGGGAAAACTTGAAAAATAATTTAGTGTCCTATAAAAGTTTACTAAGACTAGAGAGAAAAGTAGTCAGAAGTCAGAGGCATGCACTAAAGAGTTGAAAGTGTATATTTTTCACTCATCCATTTTTCTAACAAACGCTGAACACCACCATTGCCTAGCAGAGAGCACCTGGCTTCTGGAAGAGCCTCATTAAATATTTTTTGAATACATCAATGAAATTGCTTTGTAAACCTTGAGGGAAAATGCTGTAGATATTTAGGTATACAAATCCTATTTTTTTATTTCCAGGATTGTAAATAGGTATTTAACTTCACAAAATAATAAAGCCTGTAGACAAACATTCCTATTTATATATTTTCTTTTGATCCCAGGTGGATTTTAACTCTCAGAAAACAAACCTTTTATATAAATTGGCTCTGCCTAAGTAAACTGAGAACTAAAGTTAATTCAAAAGAAGCTCTCTATTTAATAAAAAAAATTATGCCCACTATAATTTATATTTATTTGATGCTTTTTATCTCTGTCCATTTATGTTGTCCTACAATTAAATGGATTATTCCATCATAGGATTGATCTGGAATTATAAACCTACTCAAGCTTCTTCATCTCTTTTTGCCTTTATTTTGCTCTGCTCTGACATCTACTTTTTGCCTGTGATTCATGATCTCCATAAGGTTGACTTTAAGAGTGTGGTTGTAGTTATTCTATTTAGTAAAGCAGTCCCTACTCAACAAGATTCTAGAGATGTAAAAGATGAACAGTAAGCTCCAATTAAAATCCTGCTATGCATTTTAATTTCTGAAGCAAAGGAAAGAAAAATATTATAAGCATGCTTTTCATAGGAAATATTTTTAAACATACTAGTCTAATTTTTTTTGGTCTAAAGCTTATTTTCAAAGTGAGATAACGCTTTATGTAATGATAGATAGATACTACAAGTATATTTGATGTTTATTTGGCCTTGAGCTCTTGCTTACGTATACCTAGGCTTCATTTTTTAAATGTTTTAAATTGTTTAAACTAAGGGAAACATTTAAAAGGAAAAATGGAATCCCCTCTCTAAATTCATCTTTTCTTTGGAGCCTTTGGATTAGAAGAGAGACATTACAAGTTTGCAAATGAGAAATGAAATAGCTCAGGAAGACAATTCCATCTACCAGGGTTCCAAAGCATACTTCCAAATTGATATGATCTTATAGTATGTGTAAAGTGTTTATAATATAAATATACATATGTTAAGAAGAGAGAGAGAAGTTTTCTAGGAAAAGCTTTTTCTGGAGGGGAGGAAAAGGAAGCATAGTACATGTTAGCAGCACTGAATGAGGAGTCTGAAGACTCTGTCACTCACTAGCTATGTGACCCCAGGGCAGTCTACTTTACCTCCCTAGCTCAGTTTTTTCAAATGTAAAACGAGGGGGGTTAGCTAGATCTCTTTCAGCTCTACAAATCTATGGCTCCAAGAATGTTCTTAGTGACTACAGCATCACAGGCATTGCTATGGGATGTTGGTTGTTAGGTCTGGTGCCTCATGAATTTGTTGATATCTGCCAGTGTCTTAATTAGCGTGAGTAGGTGAACAGTGTGGATTGGGACATTTATGAAATTCAGCAAATTGTGGATTACCAATATCAAAAGAAACTGCCCAACCCATTCTTTCTTTTAGAGGCAGAAAACCAGAGTTGCCCTTGCTTTCATGAACACATAATGATAATAAAATCCCTTTAGAAAGCAGAGCACTCTCACAAATATAGTCTTATTCCATTTTATAAGAGCTCTGTGAAGGAAATAGACCAGAAATAACTAGTCTCATTTTACGACTGAGTTTACAAACTCTTATTGTGTGCTTATTATATATGTGTAAGACAGAGTGCTAGGTGGTATGGGAGTACATAAAACCATAGAGTCTCTGGCTCAGCCAGGTTATTGGAGAAACTGAAGTACACAGTCATTTGCCTAGGATCACAAAGTTTCTTTGAGTAAAGCCAGGGTGAGAATTCTAGTCTCCTGGCCTCTTGGCTGGGCCTTTTTTCTTTGTGTCAAATTAAGACTGATAAACTCCAATAGAATTAAGGTCCCAGTTTTTCATGCCAGCAAGGAAGATAATTTAAAAGCTAACTATCTCTAAGTCTTTTTAGCTAACCTTATTTTAAGAAGCATGGATTTTGTTTCCATTCATATGAGGCATTAAGAAGATGTTTCATTCCCATGCCAAATGAAGTCACTGGTTGATGTTTTTATAGGTAAAAAAACAGAGATAAAAAAATTTAATTTTCACATTTATGCTGCATTTATTGTTGCTTTATACCCTAAAGGCCCATTCAGGGATTTAGGTGTAGTTCATGACACACTGCGAGAGAAGGCAGCTACTCTCCTCCCTTGCATTATCGTGTTCCACATGCCTCCTCTGTGATCATGTACCAAGTGCTTTATCTCTCCATTCTCCCCTTCCTGTAGATCCAGCTTTCCAAAATTGGGCCACCTTTTATCATCAAGAGCCAACCAGTCTCCAAACCAGAGTCTCGAGCATCCCCCAGCACATCCGTCAGTGGTGGGAGGAACACAGGAGCCAGGACCCTCGCGGATATCAAGGCCCGAGCCCAGCAAGCAAGGGCCCAACGAGAGGCGGCGGCTGCGGCTGCTGTGGCCGCCGCTGCGAGCATCGTCTCCGGAGCCATGGGGAGCCCAGGAGAGGGTGGAAAGGCGAGAACCCTGGCGCACATCAAAGAACAGACAAAGGCGAAGCTCTTTGCAAAGCATCAAGCCAGAGCCCACCTCTTCCAGAACTCTAAAGAGACCCGGTTGCCTCCGCTTGGCTCAAAGGAAGGGCCTCCAAGCTTAGAAGTCTCTTCTACTCCTGAAACAAAAATCGAAGGTTCAACTGGTGTCATTATTGTCAATCCAAACTGTAGATCTCCTACCAACAAGTCTGCGCACCTCCGGGAGACCACCACTGTATTACAGCAGTCTCTTAACCCGATGAAACTTCCAGAAACTGCCACTGACTTATCTGTGCACAGTTCTGATGAAAATATACCTGTGTCACATTTATCTGAGAAAATTGTTTCATCTACCTCTTCTGAAAATAGCAGTGTGCCCATGCTTTTTAATAAAAATTCTGTCCCTGTGTCTGTTTGCAGCACTGCTGTGTCGGGAGCAATTAAAGAACATCCCTTTGTGAGTTCTGTTGATAAATCCTCTGTTCTAATGTCTGTTGACAGTGCAAACACTACAATTTCTGCTTGTAATATAAGCATGTTAAAAACCATCCAGGGAACTGACACTCCATGCATAGCCATTATACCAAAATGTATTGAAAGCACTCCTCTTCCCACCACTGCAGAGGACTCCAGCTTATCGAGCTCCATGGATGACAAGCAGTTGCTAATATCAAGCAGCAGTGCTAGTAACTTAGTGTCCAGTCAGTACACCTCTGTGCCAACTCCCTCCGTTGGAAATAATTTGCCAAACCATCTCTCCACTAGCTCGGTCTTGATTCCCCCAACGGGAATTAACAACAGATTTCCTTCTGAGAAGATAGCCATGCCTGGGAGTGAAGAACAGGCCACCGTATCCATGGGTACCACTGTGAGAGCAGCCCTCAGCTGCAGGGATTCAGTAGCAGTCACAGACACTCTGGTTGCACGCCCACCTGTCGCAATGTTTACTGGAAGCATGCTAACAATAAACTCTTATGAGAGTGCTCCCAAGTTAAGTGTTGAAAGCTTGGACAAAAATTCAGGGCCTCGAAACAGGGCAGACAATTCTGGGAAACCTCAGCAACCTCCAGGGGGCTTTGCACCAGCAGCCATAAACAGATCAATTCCGTGTAAAGTCATCGTTGACCACAGCACCACGCTGACCTCCACTTTGTCTCTGACTGTCTCCATTGAAAGTGCAGAAGCCAACTTGGACCTCCAGAGCAGATCAGTGAGGACAGAAGCATCCATACAGCCCATGGCATGTCCTCAGGTGTCTGTTATTAGCAGGCCTGAGCCAGTTGCAAATGAAGGCGTAGATCATGGTTCTAGTTTCATCGCTGGTTCTGCAGCAAAACAAGACTGTAAAACGATTCAGGCTGCCAGCACAGGTCTCCGAGAAGTACCCCTTGTTGTTCCAGATAAATTAAATGAGGTGACTGCTCCTAGTAGTGGCTTTGCTGAGCAGGCACGTGGCCCCACCACTTTCAAAAGTGAAGCAGACACAACCTGTAGCAATCAATATAACTCAAACAACCGGATTTGCTGGAATGATGACGGGATGAGGAGCACGGGCCAGCCTCTGGTTAGTCACTCTGGTTCAAGTAAACAGAAAGACTATCTAGAGCAGGGCTGTCCAAAGGCTATCAAAACGGAACACGCCAGCTACTCGCACATGTCGGAACTTCACCCCAGGAATCTCATAACAAGTGTCTCTCTCCCTGTGAAGTCTGAACCTCATGAAGTGGACAAGGGCTTTAGAATGGACACTGAAGACTTCCCTGGCCCTGAGCTGCCTCCTCCGGCCGCAGAGGCAGCCCCTAGTATGCAACAGGCACCGAACGTGAAGGCTCCCACCTCTGGTCCCATGGAAGAGGCGATTTCTTTGCCTACAGACACCCTGAAAAGAGTTCCCAGTGCAGGGAGCTCAAGCTGTCGTCTCTCGTCTGTGGAGGCTAACAATCCCCTGGTGACACAGTTACTACAGGGTAACCTGCCTTTGGAAAAAGTGTTGCCGCAGCCCAGATTGGGAGCCAAGCTCGAAATTAACAGGCTTCCTCTGCCTCTTCAAACTACCTCAGTGGGTAAATCAGCACCAGAGAGGAGCATTGTCGAAATGCCGTCCAGCTCTCCCAATCCTGACGGGAAGGGCTACTTGGCAGGGACTCTTGCACCACTGCAAATGAGAAAGCGAGAGAACCACCCCAAAAAGAGAGTAGCCAGGACTGTGGGCGAACACACTCAAGTTAAATGTGAGCCAGGGAAATTGTTGGGGGACCCAGATGTGAAAGGGGTGCCTTGTGTCATCAACTCAGGCGTGAATCAGCTGGGACACAGCCAGCCTTTTAAGCAAGAGTGGCTGAACAAGCACCCCATGCAGACCAGAATTGTTCACAGCCCTGAGGTCAAGCAGCAGAAGCGGCTGCTCCCCTCCTGTAGCTTCCAGCAGAACCTATTTCACGTGGACAAGAATGGCGGCTTCCACCCCGACGCTGGTACCTCACACAGACAGCAGTTTTACCAAATGCCTATGGCTGCCAGAGGCCCCATGCCTACTGCAGCTCTGTTACAGGCCCCTGCCAAGCCTCCAGTGGGCTGTAATGCATTTGCCTTCAGTCGGCATCTTGAACAAAAGGGATTGGGAGAAGCTGGCCTTTCTTCTGCACCTCACCAGCTAAGGTTAGCCAACATGTTATCCCCCAGCATGCCCGTTAAAGAAGGTGATGACACAGGAGGGGCTGCACGTGCGATGCCAAACAAAGCACTGGTGCATCCCCCACCCCCTCCACCCCCCCCCCCTCCACCCTTGGCGTTGCCCCCGCCTCCCCCCCCACCACCTCCGCTACCTCCACCTCTTCCTAATGCAGAAGTCCCATCCGATCAGAAACAACCACCAGTTACCATGGAAACCACTAAGAGACTTAGTTGGCCACAGTCCACGGGCATATGTAGCAATATAAAACCGGAACCTCTTTCTTTTGAGGAGGGTTTAAGCAGCAGCTGTGAACTGGGCATGAAACAAGTTTCCTATGACCAGAATGAAATGAAAGAACAGTTAAAAGCATTTGCGCTAAAAAATGCAGATTTCTCTTCCTATTTGCTTTCTGAGCCACAAAAGCCTTTTGCCCAATTAGCTGCTCAGAAAATGCAGGTGCAGCAACAACAGCAGCTCTGTGGAAATTATCCAACAATACACTTTGGGAGCACGAGCTTCAAAAGGGCAGCCTCGGCAATTGAAAAGTCCATTGGGATTTTGGGAAGTGGCTCCGGTGCTGCCACAGGGCTGCCTTGTCAGAACGCTCCGATGCCCGTTCAGAACTTTGCCGACAGCAGCAACAAGGATGAATTGGAACTGAAATGCTCTTGCCGGCTGAAAGCCATGATTGTGTGCAAAGGCTGCGGGGCCTTCTGCCATGACGACTGCATAGGGCCTTCGAAACTCTGTGTAGCTTGCCTGGTTGTGCGATAAGAGCTGAATGAAAGATGCAGTATCCCTTTTCAACACGGAAAAGCCAACGGCGCCAGCAACAACAAATTGGATAACTCAGTGGTTTATATCGTGCTAATTTATTTTACTTTGGAACAGATTATTGTTTCTCTATGGGATTATTATTTTCTTGCCTTTCTCGGAAAGGGGAGATTGCATCCCACCTGAGTGGCTCTGCAGCACGTCTTTGGCGTAGTTAGTTGCCGTTCCCAGCTTTGGAAAATTTCTGTCCGTGTGTACACAGGGCACTACCCCGTTTGCTTTTTTAAAGTCCAGGTGTAGATAGGAAAAGGACATTTTAAATTACTTAATACTAAGCAGAAATGCAGAAGTAGAGAATGGTAAACACGATTTAAGGTGGTTATGCATCCTTCTGTAGAGTCACCATTACGGCAGGGGTTTGCACAGTGGACTCTCTGGACCTACTGTCACCACAGTGATTAAGTCATTTGGAAAGGGGAATCTGATTTAAATGTGTGATTCCTTGTGTTTACTCATATCACAAAAGATCCATTAAAGGAGGTGTGTGGTTAATGAACTCCACTGTCCTTATTCTCTTTCCTCCCTTTTTACTCTTTGCAGAGACTGGGGGACTATCTGGATCTGCCTTGGACGCTGTACGCACTGTAGTGAAATGTCTTATACCTGAAATTGCAGTGTGGGCCACATCCCCACTCATCTGCCTCGAGCCCTTTGACACCTGGTGCCGTAAGATCAGTTGGCCCACAGAGAGCCATAGGCCCAGAGGAATTCAGAGCTTCATGTGTGGCTTTTAAGAATACGTATGAAAAAAATGCCCTAAAATTCAAACCAAACAAATAAAACGCTGTGTATGCAAACACATATAAACGGGTTGATAATGTAAATATTAGTCCATTCTGTTCACTCTAATGCAATTACTAGATATTAAAATTTGGGGGAAAATAATTGTAGCCCTTTATTGATGACACCAGTGCATTCGGGCTTCTGACTTTGCGGAAACTGGCCACCTCTTTTTTAAAGTGTCATTGGTGATAAAAGGGACTGCAGAAGGCTGGAGTGTTGGCATTTTTCTGAACAATCTTTTTCTCATGATTCGCAATCTATATAATTAACAGTTGACTCTGAAATAGCCCTTATTTTAAAAATTGTTCCAGGTATTGCATGTGTTGGTTTTTTCCCCTCAGGTGAGTTCAGTACATTCTTCATATTTGGGGGAGTGGAACTGCTTTTGAAAAAGGGATACTGCATCTTACAGATATCGTCAGTGTTTATCGAGTAAAGTCTGAGTGTTGAGTATTTGAGCTACATTCCATATACTTTGGCCACCCTCATGTCAGAGAGCAGCTGTAGTTCAGGAGGCTCTGTTCCCTAAAGCAAGTTCAAAAGCACATGTACATTGTGGGAAGATGAAAGACAACAAAAACTACGCCCATTTAACTTCAGATTACAGAGCACAAAATGTGGAGTGCCATTAACCCGTTGATTGACTGTGGCTGTAGAATCAAAAAAAAAAACATGGGGGAAAAGTCATCCGTATCCAGGGTAAGAATGACAGATCTTTTCGCATGGGATCATCCTAATCAATGTAAACTTTTGACATTCCCTTAAAATACGTTTTAAAAATAACTGGAATGAGGCGAAATTACATTCCTGGGGCAAAAAAAAAAAAATTGTGATTTTTTTTATAGTAATTAACCACGGTATATGTTGTTATTTTCTCCATATTTATTATTGTGATGTTGCCAAATTTCGTTAGCTGATAGAGACGTCATTTTTGTTAACAAATTGCTGATAGTGAAAGATACTTGATCTTGAAAAGAAAGAAAAGCAAAGAAGGGCCTGCCTCTGTGGCCGCGATGCGGTGCTTCTGTACTGTCACTTCTGTTTTTCATATTAAAATTAACAAAAATAACGACTGAGAAAATTAGCAGTGCACTTAACCAGCCCTTCCCGAGGAATGCAGCATAAGTTCCAGAGGATCCTAAGTTCACTCTGCGCCCAGTGTGTTTGGGTGGCATCCTCGTCAGTGGTGTCTCTATGGTCTGCTTTGCTCTGATATTGTCTTGGTTCAGAAGAGCATGCTCTACTCTCACAGAGGGGCACCCCTAAAATACAGACGCTTGCGTGCCAACTCCTTCCAAATTCGGTTGCCGCTCTACCAGTGTCAGATACTGTCTACACCAGCAGATTCAAAACTACCATATCAGTAACTGACACAGTGTTGAAAGAACCTCCAGTCTACAAAACCTTTGCACTCTGTATATGAGGTCCAGTTGGGGCTGATGTGACGCTGAGCTCATTGTCAGTTCCATCGTTGTGGAATACTGCCTACAAATTACTGGGAATAAAGAAAAGTGTCCTTCTGTAGATTTTGATTTTTCACAGAATAGGTTTGGAGAATCACTTGTTGATCATGCATGGATTCTACCACCCAGGTCCAAAGAGCATAATTTTTCTCTGCCCTTGCTCTTTATTGCCCCCGTTCAAATTCCTAGTATTTGCTTATGGTTTATATTACTGAAAAAATTAATATCTTTGGGTTAAAAAATAATGGAAAGAAATTTAGAAGTAAAATGTAGGTCAGATGTTTTACAAGTGTCCATTTAATATATATACAAAAGCCAGTATATTTGGATTAGACGAGTAGTACGTTCTTAGTTTTCTGATTTCCACAGGTGTCTACCTATGTGCAAATGGAGTATGTTATTTACTACATGGTTATTGTGGTGTAATGTGCAAATTGTAGTGTGTGCATTATCCTGATTATTGGACACTATGCTATCCCTATCAGGAATAGAACTTGCACATGTAACGTAATTTTTTTTTTTTTTTTTTTTTTATCACAAAGGATGTTATTTCCCTAAGTAGCACTTTTGGAGCAGGGGAAGGAAGGAAACTGCTATTCCCTAATCCTCCTCCTATATGATATGCATATGCCTGAGGTGTATAAAGACATTTAGGTAGTTAATGGGCATGTTAATAAGAACATTCTGATGCAAATTCATTTTCAAAATGAAAATATTTTTCCTTCCCCAAAGTGAGGATAGCAGAAATGTTGGTGAACTGAGCACCATAGTTATATATAATATTTCCTTGCTAAGGTCTAGTTTGAAGAAAAAACTTGAAAACAAACCTATGAGGTTGAGCCTGGTTGCTATAAAGACTGTGGTGGTATGTGTTTCTGGGATGAGCTCTAGATGGTTTAGTTGACTGCTAGACCTTGGATATTCTTACTCCTTCAAAATAAACATACGAAAACAAGCTGGTGCATATATGGTGCTTCATAACGCAGTCGAGAGTAAGAGTCCGTGATGCTGCAGCCCCGTTTCCTTTACAAACACTCGCACAATTTCAAAGGAGGAAGTTACTGTGGCCTTGGCTTCCCAGTCCCTCCTTGGTCTGGCGAAGTCCTTGGTTACAGAAGTTGAAGCCCAGCATAGGGTTGCATCGTCCCTCTGGTGTGGAGACCGAGTGCCGCACCAGCGCCTGGTGGGAACGAGCCTGCCGAATGCGCAGAGCCCAGAGTCACTGTCCGTCTGTGTTTCTAGAGAACAATGTGAAGAGTCCTAGAAAAGGAACTCATCAGACTGTCAGGGGCCTAAGTAGCCAAAATGTCACTGAATATAAAAATCTTGTCGTCTTCAGTCCTCATGCTTCGTCACTGTAAAGCAAACAAAAAGCGTTTTTACTATAATTTAAAGGAGCTGCTTTTTTATAGCACATACTATTTCGCTTTGTACTATATTTGATAGTCGCAGAAGAATTTAGGCTGTAGAAGAACTTTGTTGTATTTGTACTGTTCATGAATGTTTCAAAGGAAGTGCTTTACTTGGTTGCCATAATTTTCCTGTACTGCTGTATTTTCCCCCCTGCTTCCTGGAAACCTGATCTGATTCATATTTTCAGTACAGCTTTCTTTTTTAATGTGTGTTTGTGTGTAATTTTTTTTTTTTTTTTGGTCAGTATTCTGAATGTTTACATCTGTTTGACATTAGCCATTGAATGCCTTTTTTTTAAAGGCGGTATTACTCCTACGGTGTAACAGCAAAATGTGAAATCAACCCAAACATAACACGCATGACAAAGGCAGAGTGGGGGCGAAGGCCCTGGACCTACATAGACGTTTTCTATCAGCATACAGAAAAGTAAAACCCTCCTTCAGTCCTCTACCAAAGAATATATTATTCCCACAGGAAAAACTCCGAAAAGGTGTGTAAAATCCTCAGAAGGGGGAGCAGTTGATTCAGTAAGACTGCTACAATTTAATACTGTTATGCTTGCTTTGATACCTGACTAAATGTGACTGAGTGCAACAAGCATTTAAAAAATTTTTAGACAGTGTTTTGTTTAGAATTCAGGGATCATGCATTCTTTAATGGTGCTGTTTGTTTTTTATTTCTTCTTTTCTACAAAGAAAAAAAAAACGTTGCCTACAAAAGTGACTGCTCACGATACCATAAGTTAAATGAAATGAAATGTTTGTCTCTTCATGTTTCTCTGTTCTTCCCTTTCTCAAGGTAACAATTTGGGTTTCAATATTAAAATATTCTGGAGAAAATAAAGAAATTCAACATTAAATAATTGTCATTTTAAATTTTTTATGAAATGAGGTAGTTAATGTATATACATGAACTGTACTAATAAATACTTTGAAAATTTTAATTAAAAAATTTATAGGGAAAACTTAAACCGTATGCTGTTAAATTATCTGCCCTTTTTTTTGGTATGATGAATTGTCAGCATACAATTATACCTCTTTTTAAAACAGGAAAAAACAAAACTGGAATCTTTGAAATTAACTGTATCTGCTATGCTTGTCATTTAAAAATATATTTGGATCTTGTTTTCATAAAGGTCTTGTTAATTATACAAAAAGACATTCAGGTCAAACAAATTGTTACTACCATATTTAATTTTAACTTTCAAAATGAATTAACTTTAAAAATTCTTTTTTAAAAGAATTTCTCTGGTTAATTTTTTTTTCTCTTGCATTAAATATTACAGCTAGAGCTATTTGAACAAAACGCTGTGAACCATTAGAACAAAATTGCCTGTTATATTTACATTGGTTAAAAAAATATGCATATCTTTACAGTAAGATGAATTGGAAAGCATTAAACATAATTGGCTGTTAAATCTAAGTTCAACTGTTTTCATCTACATGGAAAATGCTGTCTTTAGCCACCAGATGGCGAAAGAGGATGTTTACTTTCGGAGGAAAAAAAGCAAAACATGTTTCTTCCTCCTCCAAAAACTAGATTAAATGATTGTAAGAGTAAAAGACCAACTTATCCAGGTAAGTCAGTGGAAGATAGACTTAATGTTTAAAGTTCAGAGCACACACAGTTATCCAGTGATACGCAGGCAATAAAAATTGGAGTAATCCAACATCACAGTTAATCTGGAAGTCAAAATTGAGCAATGAACCTAGTTCTCTTCCCTACAGAAACTTTTATCCAAGTTGTCAATACAATTAATTACCGTACTCTCACTAATTGGAGGAAGGTCGCTTGATTTACAAAGCAAAAATTGAATTTTTTGCCATTTTATTTAAAATAGTTTTATTTCAAGCTTTTCAGCTGTATTAAATATCTCATCACTATAAGTAAAGCTGATATTTTAGCAATTTTGAACAATCCTGCAAGGCATTGACCAATCCAAATGGATGGTAGACAAATGAAAAGAGATGGCCCTATTACAAAAAACCAATCAAGATTGGCTAAGTATCAATTCTGTGAACAAAGGAGCTTTCTGAGTCTGCTTTTATCAATATTTAGAATTTATACTTAGTATATCTGTTGCATCTATGGGAGTTTGAGGTACTTAGGCTAACATTTTCATTTACAATCTCATTTTTT